TCCATTGGACCTTTCGGATCGGTGCGTTGGGGCTGGTCCTGAGGTGGGGCCTCCGAGCTTCCATATGCCCAATCATAGGCTCCGGCTCGATGGCCAGTCTGGGCTGCGAGCTTTGCAATTCGGCCCACGCCGGCAAAATATTCTATGATGTCATATTCGGCACTGCCAGAGAGATTGAAGAAAGGTTGCCAAGTCAAGAGCAAAATGGTTACTAGCAATGCCTCAGCGCGGCATAAAGGCTAGCTGCTATAAAAACTGAACACTGACTGCTTTGATGTTTGGCTTTCAAAGTTCACACGTCACAATTATTTCAGAGTTTCTTTTGGTGCCCCCATAAAAGCAAGACGGCGTAAGACGAGCTCCAAGTCTTCTGGCCCCATTGCTATGGCTACAATGCTACCCCAAGCAAATGATCTTTTTGAGCAGGTCAGCTCATACAATATTAGAATGTTGAGGTGTACACAAAGCTTTCTGTAGGCTAAGGGGAAAACGGAACTCTCCTGCTCGCTGAATCCAATCGAGTCGGGAAGACCGTCCATGAGCCCATATCGTGCGAACGAAGCACACCCGACAGGAAGTCTGGGCATCGCTGCGCCTGGAGGCAGGAGGTTGAGAAACTAGGGATATAATGACTTGACATTGCCGCATTGCCGCAAAAGGTGACTTTCAAGTGGCAATGATCGAGCGACAACAAATTGTTTGTTTTGGTTCTAGTCATACGCAGGCACAGTCTAGGCACCAAAGAAGTGACAGCTTCTTTTTGCGCAACTCTCTTGGCTTCGATAGTTTTGGAGCAACGCCCGCTGGAAGGAGGCGACCCCACAAAGGGAATTGGGTTCACAATTTCCTGCTCAACCCCACTTCCAGCAGGAAGACTCTGCCTAGGCACCCACAGGTCCTAAGTGGGTATACACTGGCGAATATAGCAACTTCAAGACCGCTCGGCCCGCTCAGCCACAAAATGCTCAGCGGCGATCCGCGCTAACTTATCAAAACCCTTCTGGCCAAGGGAACTCAAATGAATGTCCTCCGCTTCCCACCTCGCCGTGGCATAGTCCCAGAAAGGGGCCTCCCAGTGCGCCGCCGAGTTTGGACTAAAAAACACTAGGGAATCTAGCATTTATAGTTGAGGACTTCGAACAAGAAAGAAACAAAATCAAACGTTGTGGCCATGGCCTCAAGACGCGAAGGGCGAGGCAATTGCACGGCCACAATGCCTTCAAATGCATTCTGCAGGGCCTGCCACTTGAACACGCCCAAGTCGCTGGCTGGCTTGTATCGTCGAGCGAAGGTAGCCTTCTGAATCTTGGAAGCTGCCTGACCTTCATGAGGTGAGTTCCCCCGCTTCCTCTTGGTCTGAGACTTGTCCGTGTGAGTTTGTGTGCTTGGGTCTGGCGTTGCCAAGTCACCCACTGAAGGAGCCTTCATTGCCCTGCCCTTCCCCTGCTTTGCGACTGCTGATTTGGAACCAGCCAGGCTCTTGTCATCACCCTTACCCTTGCGGGTTGGAGTAGCCCTTGCTTTTGGCTGATTGTCCTCTTGGCTTTTCTTTGCTCGGGCCTTTGGCCTGGACTTTGGCTTTCGGCTGGAATCATTCTCATGGGTCCGAGAAGGGGCCCTGGAACGCTTGACACCCCGCTTTCTGCCATCATCTTTGACCTTTCGCCGTCGCCCTCGCTTGGGTTCTTCCTCCTGACCTTCTGCGGCCTGAGCTTCTTCGGCCTCAGCTTCTTTGGCCTTTGCTTCTCGGTCCAACTCCTGTTTCCAAGCCTGCTGGTCCATTCGAGTCAAGTCAACCTGCTGGTCAAACACCGACAGGAGATTCTTTGGAGCCAGGCCGCTGTACTCCACAGTGGGGCATGCCGAAAGTGCACCTGCTAGGCCCGCTTTGGTTGAAGTCTCCTCTTTGGCTAAACCTCCACTCTCGCAAAGTTTCACAGCAGGCTCTGCCATCTCAGGCTTGGGCTGCGAAGCTCCACCAGAAGGCTTTGCCGTCTCAAGCTTTGGCTGCGGCTGCGAAGCTCCACCCTCAGAAGAATGCTTTGGCATCTCAAGCTTTGGCTTAGAAGGCTCTGGCATCTCAAGCTTTGGCTGCAAAGCTCCACCATCTGGCATCTCAAGCCTTGCCGGCTCAGCCTTTGGTGCCGGATTTTCTTCAAAGTGGTGGGCCTTCTCCCCTGCATGTCCATAGTAGATGTTGGCGATGGGAGACAAGTCACACGGAAGCGTATCTTGCTGGTCAGGGCTGATGGCACGCAAGCCCTGCGCCACAACAGGCTGAGAAGGAGCTACGACTTGGGAGGCCATTTGCTGTTTCGCCGCGTCCAGCTTCGACCTGTTCATGGTCTGAATAGACCACAAATAGAACGGAAAATCATTGAACATGTAAAAACATGAGGGGAAAATAGAAAGCTTGAAGTAATGCAACGCCAAAGCTCCTCAACATTGCGATTCTTTGGTCCAGTGTCAAGCCCTCTGTGCTGGTTGCTTGACTGGGCATCTCCTCGACAGGCGCTGGTGCCACATCCGACTTTGACTTTGGCGGACTTATGCGCTCGATGTTGCTAGCTGGAACCCCAAGGCCGCAGCCAGTTCCACATCATCGAACTCCGGCACTTCTTCAACCTCTTTTTCCACAGCAGCCACTGTTTCAGTGCTGCCGGTCTGCATGTAGGCATCGGAAGTGTTGTTAGACATGAGCTTGGGCTTGGATGGCTCCGGCCAATGCTTCCGAAAGCGAGCGTACACGTCGTTCAGGACAGGGTCCTGATGTGTGAGCTCAACAGAAAATGTAAGAAGAGGAAACTAACTTTCAGACCAGGAGGGAAAAATAGAGACAATGTAATCTTGCAAAAAAGTGTCTCTTTTCGTCGTAGATGCATAGAGCCTGTGGCGAATGTAAGTCACAAACTCCTTCATGGCCACAGCGTCGCAATGAACCTTTGCGGGCCTGTTAGACATGTGCAGCTTCTCCCGGGCTTGTCTTACCTCCACATGACTGAAAGATAGACGCACAAACTTAAAGTTTTGACGGGGAAATGCTTTCCAAACAAAGTCAAACCCCCTTTAAATCATAGGAGTTAAAAGTAGGAAGGGCGCCTCGACTTTCAGCTGATTGATAGGGCTGTCCCATTGAGGGCACCAAAAGTCCGCAACTGCAATCAGAAGTCTGGCATTCAAGCGCACCGCATCAGGGTTGTTGCAAAGGCCAACTTTCTCTGGACTTGGCCAGGCTACCAAGCAATCGCTTGCCAACATCCTGTCTCTCAAGGCAGGATCATTAGCTATCACATCGGCGAACCCTTCCATGGACATACCCCTCAAAACCTAAAGACGGGGTAGATCTTGGGACCTAGACTTGAGAAGCAAAAGGCTCCGGCGCATTCATTTTCTTCAGTCCGATGACGTTGTCTCAAATCCCCCGCAGCGCCTCGTTGCGAAGGCCATCTGGCACTTTAGCGCCATGCGGCCTGTGCGGCAGTGAGTGGACGGCGGACGGGGCGAAAGGTTCACACCAGTTGTGCCCAGCCAAGTGCATGACATGACACTGGCTTTTTCCAACACTTTCTCCATCATTCTTGAGTGTACTAATCCTCATGTTGAGGACTCACCAGTTCCGGGTTTGGCAGCCTCATCTGGTGGCTTGCCTGGGCAAAATCTAGTTGGTTGAGATTTCTAGCTTGGGAGCATGCAAAAACAAACGTTTTGCAACACAAAAAGTGAAAGGCCGTAAAGTAAGCTAGGTACCGTGTTCTGAGACACAGTGGCGATAAATGTTGGCAAGCTCGCGGGCAAACCCTCCATCCTTGTAGTTCGCAATGATGCTAACCAGCGTTTCATCTGTGATGGGAACCTAGCGGCATAACTGCGCATACAGACCTCAGCACTTGAAGCCAAGATCACGTCTCAGACCTGCCTCAGAGTCTTCTTTGCTAAAAAGGACTGCTGCGACTTCGTCGAAGAACTTTTTTGGGAAAGCTGGTAAGTCCTGGACAACAACCGGTTTGTACATGCCCTTATCATTCAACAACAAAAAGGGTTTACAGGGCCCCTCCTTCTGCTTCTGCAAGTTTGATTGTATCCGGGCTGCAACCTTCCAACGCCATGCAACCCAGAACAAACTGCAGTCGTTTGATCGATTTTGAGCCAAATTGAGCTGGGATTGGGTCTCAATTGCTTTTCAAAGAAGCTACAACCAAAAGACTGTGTGGCGCAGAGAGCGGGAGAACGCGCGCCTGGATCTATCAGTGTAGAAGTGCCAGGATGTGCCAAGGCTATGAACCAAATGGCTACCAGAACTGATCAGACCGGTTTCCGCCCACTCACAGTGGACTCCGCCCATTCACAGTGGATTCCGCCCTCCGGGCAGAAATCTGTGGAGTGGTCAACTATTATAGCCTTCTCGAGGCTCCAGGTATGCGCACGTCCTTGTGTGTCCGTGACTTTGTAGGACTTCCAGGGTGGTGCCATTGCAACAAGTACGAGCCTTGGCAGT